AAAATTACCGTGCTCAGCACAACAATCCACGCGCAAATGTCAATTCCCTAAAAAATTAAGACAACCTTCAAAGAAAAATTAGTAATCCTTTTAAAATTTTTATTATAGATTCAATATTTATTAAGAAGAGTAAAAGTAAAAATTCTTATGCAGCACGGTAATATTCGATAAATATTAATTTTTATTCAAACTTTAAACAAAAATTAGTAAGTGACTAGAAAAAAATGAGAATCTGTATATAATTTATTATGATCCGTGTGGTAGGAAAAATTCGGGTGCTCTCCTATAATTTTTTCTATTCTCGAGAGTTTCCGTGCTGGGTCGGGAATCTTCGAATTAGCGGTCCAACACAATCTTTCTTTGTATTGTAAGTGCTATAGTTAGTTTTTCCATACTGTAAACATAGATAACGACATTCATATTTTTCGTTACGTTTAATATTGGTGGCAACACGTTATATAATCATAATTTATTATAAACTTAAACAGTGTTGTGTTAAGTTTATTTGTGTGACTTTATATGAAATTATAAAAATCTTAATTAGTTACTCTGCGTAAGTATTACTTTTGTTTCTTAAGTTTTGTGCGTGTACTGACATGGTCAGATATATTTCGTTGTAGTATGCAATTGATGTTTTCATTGATAATAAGAATAAAATAAATCATATATATGCATATAGTTATTGCATGTTATTAAAGCATGTGTTGTACTCGTAAACAAGTAGCATATAAATCTATTTCAATCGATGTTTCAACATTCCTATATACAACACTAACCCTAATTTTCTTCTATCTAGATAGAATTCTACAGAACAGCTGTTCTGTAGAATTAATACAAAAGAGTAGGAATGTAATTCTCATTACTCAAAACACAATAAAATATATCTTTTATTATATTGTATTTATATACATATTTATTTTGATTTGCATTACGGGAAGATGGTATGTAAATATAAATTCAATCTGTTTTATTTTATGATAAATTAAAAATTAAAGACTGACGAAAATATAATCATTTTTATTGGAATACAGGATTTTCTGAAATATATCGATAAACCGGAACTTATTAATCAAGTGAGTCTAATCATTGTATCGTTTGCATGTAAAATCATTTCTATATTGTTATTCGAGAATTGAAAATTGCATAAATAAATAATTTCTGTTTCATCGTACAGAACGTCGTCAGACATTTCGGAAGACCGGAAATAAAAAACCATGTAAGTATTATTATTTTCTAATATAAATCATTTTCTTGACGGTTAATATTTATTAAACCTAATTTCAAATTACGTTTCTGATGCGTACAATAACATGATTGAATAATTTATTTTACTTCGGAACCATCTTATATTCTTCAGTGTTTTTAATAATAAAATACAGTTTACTTTTTTGACATTAAAATTTCCGTGATATTATCTAATTTTACTAAAAGTTTTATTGTTTATAGAGAATATATCAACTTATATTAAGAAGTACTGACGGGAAGAGCATCATTCTATATTATTTGAAGAAAGAGAGATTAAAAAAAAATCTCAGAAATTTACTTTCTCGCATCGTTGTTGGAGATGAAAAGGATCGTCAATTTGAACGTGTGCACCGAGATCCAGAAATACAAGAAACATTTTCATTTTCGTAAGTAGTAAAATTCATAATTTTCCTAATTTTTTCTTTAATTTCTAAAAATATTTGTTAATATTGTTTAAAAATTATCACTAATAATTATACATTCGACATTGGCAATAAATAGTACAGGTCACTGTACCATGCATTTTAATTTGTATGAAATCCATCAAAAATAACATGGATTTATTTTTCTGATTAATATACTTTTAGAATAAAAGGCGAAACATTTGCTCAGTGGTCAGAAGAAATTGCTTTAATATTTCCGAGTGAGTCCAAATTTATATATTATTCACCATATGATTCTGCATGTGTAAGAATTGTGAATCCAGATGGTACGATAACCAATCGGAGAAGAAAAAGGAATAGAAAGGGCACCCTTGTTGAACATTTTGAATATTTAAAAGATAAATTACGGACTCAAGGATTATTGACTGCCACGCAAAGAGAATCAGTACCTGAAGTTTTGGCAGCCACTGGTATGAAAAATGATTTTTATTTACAATATTAGAGCTAATAAACTTGTTTAAAATCTTAAGTAACATAATGTTGTAAATATAAAAAAATATTAATTCAATTCGACTATTTGTTACTAAAATATTTGAAATCACGTTTCAGATGAGGAACAAGCAGCAGCTGAGTGGCTTGCCACGAATATAGGTCCACCGGATTCTGTGAAAGAACATTGGATAAAATCATATCCTGTTCGAAAAACACGGTTGAACCAAAATTGTACAGTCCACGACTATTTTGCAGAGCTTCCAGCTCTAAAAGGAGGACAGGGCCCAGAATTGGTAAAGTATTGTGTGATAGTTGCTAAATACATTTGCTAATATTATTATTTCATTTTATACTATTTTATTTAGGTGGCTCTTGATTTTCAACGGCTGTATCCCGATCGCGAAGATTCATTATTTGAAAGGTGGGACGTCGCTAGAACTGTCATCATAAACAGTCTTGAAGATTGCAGAGCGCTCAATGGCGACGATTTAGGATTTTTTAAAGCGCTTCCATCCCTTGCACAACATAACAAGGACGCAGTTTTACTATATCTGCTACCATACATTATAAAACCATCTAGGAAGCATATTGGGGCTGAGAAATTGCTCTCGATCAGAGAAAAACAAGAAAGTTTTTTTATTCATGTTCAGACGGCAGCAGACATCGATGCAGCTCTAGATAACCAGCGACAAATTTGTAACAACTCCAACACAACGCTTCAGCCAATTCCAATCTTCGTGGGACCTTTAGTAAATTTAAAAAGTTTTTATATTTATATCAATGATTGTATAAAAAATCCTACAATCTACCAATGTCAAACAGTGTTACACACCATTGATTTGACCGTTAGAATATTTTATGCGTTATATTGTGAATTTCCTGCTAGGGTGTACTCGATTTGGACATTTATTAAAAAAGCGTTATATAATATTAATTCACCGATAGATAATTGTAGCCGAGAGACTGTTGCTATTATAGGCCAAATTTCTCAACAGATTCTTAACGAAAACCGTAATCCGAATATCGTTTGATAAAATGGTGTTTACTTGTAAACCATGCAATTTAAATTTAGAAGAGATCCGACAATTTATTAGTCACATTAAACTCACACATTGTAATTCGACAAGCTTTAGTTGTGGTGCAGTATCTTGCCTCAGGACTTTTAAGTCTGTAAATTCTCTTCGCTCACACATACACAGAAAACATTGTCAAAACACAAGTGAACCACCGAATAAAAAAAGGAAAAAATGTAGTGAACAATTAATAAACGAGAATAATGGCATCAATCAAGCTATACAAAATACTACAAATGAAAATATAAATTTTTCATCTGGCGAGTTAGAATTCGAAAAAGCACAGCTCGGTGATATGAAAAGTTCTGGGCCATCCACATCAAACTCAGATAGATTAGATTTTAAAAAGGCATGGCTACTTTTTGCGGCAAAGTTATTCCAATATGCTGACGTACCCAGAAAGCGAGCGCTCGATATTCTTAATGATGTTGGCAATTTAGTACAAATTATAGTGCCTGAAATTATCAAAACTGTTTGTAATGAACCCGAGTCTAATATCTGCAGTAATGAAAATGAGAACGGACAAAAAATTAAAAATATTTATGATCAATTTTCACAGTTCACTCATTTAACGACAGAATCTTCCATTTTTCAGGATTTTAAGAAAACAAAAAATTTTATTCCACCTGTATCATTCATAATAGGTCAAAGAAAAGATTTCCGTCGTCGTGGTTCATTAAATGAATTAAAAATATTAGATGTAACTGTTCAAATGATACCTTTGCGTTTTGTTTTAAAAAAATTTTTCGAATTACCTGCTGTTTTCGATGAAACATTAAATTATATAGATTCGCTGAAACAAGACACGAAAATCATTTCTAATTTTGTCCAAGCTGAATTGTGGAAAAATCTAAGTTTAAATGATAGAGACAAAACAGTTTTACCCCTTTTCTTGTACTTCGATGAGTACGAAAGTAACAATCCGTTGGGAAGCCATCGTGGCATATCTAAATGCAGCGCTGTTTATGTTTCAATTCCGTGCATTCCACCCAGATTACAATCAAAATTAGATAACATTTTTCTTTTTTTATTGTTTAATAATTTAGATAGAAAATATATCCATAGTTCTATGATTTTTGCTAGAGTAAAAGAGGAATTACAATTTTTGGAAACAACAGGAATTAGCCTCGATTTTCCCTCCGGTCAAAAAAAGATATACTTTCGATTGTCATTAATAATTGGGGACAATTTAGGTGTACATTATTTACTGGGGTATTGTGAAAGCTTCAATCGATCAAAATTTTGCCGCTTTTGTTTGATTGACAAGTTGGAAGTAAATAGTACTTTTTTAGAAACTCAAGTCATGTTACGAACAGAAACCGATTATGAAGAAGCTATAATACAAAATGATCAAAAAACAACTGGAATTGTCGATAGATGTACATTTCATGGGGTTGGAGGATTTCATCCAATTAAAAATTTAGCAACAGACGTAGTCCATGATATTCTGGAAGGAACATTTAGATATGATTTAGCAGCAATTTTTAACTATTACATACGAGAAAAAAAATTTACACTTCTTCAATTAAATAATTTAATAAAAGGTTTTAATTATGGTCGACTTAAAAATAAACCAGCCGAGATACTCCAAACACAAATGAAAAAAAACTGTATTATTATGTCTGCGTCTGAAATGCTCACTTTAATTGTACATCTACCATTAGTAATTGGTCACCTGATCGAAGAGGATGATGAAGTCTGGCAGTTATTGCTTACAATGGTACAATTAATCAATATGCTTACAAGTTACGAGGTACATAAGAATGATCATTTTGTACTAAGTTCAGTTATAACTGATTATTTAGAAACATTAACTGAATTATTCCCCAATTGTTTAAAACCCAAACATCATTTCTTAATCCACTATCCGAGAGTATTACGTTTGTGTGGTCCGGTTTGGAAAATTTCTACCATGCGTTATGAAGCAAAACATAAAGAGGGAAAAATTACTGCTCGAGCTGCTATCAGCAGAGTCAATATTTGCAAAACGATTGCTATAAAACATCAATTGCGTCAAAACTACCGATTTATGATGAATATCACTTCCGAGGTCCGATCATTTAATAGTAAAAACATTAAAAATATACCAGTAATAGAATTGAATGGATACTCTATATTAATTAAAACTGCGCCATTAATAATAAAAAAGTTAAATAATATTATTCATATTATAAAAGAAATAGATTTAAATGGGAATGTCGTAACATCAGGAGACCTAATTATGATACCAGGACGAGAAAACCCCAATTTTTATTATGTTGATACAATTATTGTACACGAAAAAAATGATATTTACTTGTTAGTAAAAAAATTCTTGTCAATCACTTTAAATAAACATACAGGATGCTACAAAAAATATGAAAACAAATATAGTTGGAAAATATTAGATACTAATAAATTACTAAGTTATACTATAACTCATGTAACACGAATATCTAATGGAGAAAATTATATTGTAAAAAACTGGTATTAATATATTAATAAAAATTATTTTTATAAAACAATATTTCCTTAGTTTTTTTTTATTCATTCTAACGAATTCATTAGTTAGGTTCATTAACATGAACCTAATTTATTTATTTATTTGTTTATATAACCAAAAAAATTATCACTAAACTTGAATAAAATTGTTTGTCGGTAATGTAGTTATCACAGCTAACGTTACTAAATTTTCAGGTGCTGTGGAACACTAAATTTTTCGGTGCTGCCTAAGTAATTTTCAAGAAACTGAATGATACATTTTTTTATGTAACTTATAATTTTTGTATGTTGATCATTAATTTGTACTTTTCAGTAAGTTTGAACTCACATTCTTGAGCAGCACGGTAATTTTTGTATGGATTTTTAAATAAAAATTAACGGAATTTTTTCTCCGTGTATGTATCCATATTAATAAAGCTATTTTACGACTGTGAAATAAATTTTAAAAGGAATTCTCAAGTGGGCCAGTGCGTTGCTGCATTCTCACGAAAACTAACCCTTATCACCCTTTCAGTATACCAACGAGTTTCAAGGAGCTTTTTATAAAAGTGTTTGAACAAAACCGAAGACTCTTTTTAATTTATCAGCTTGAACACCTTTAAATCTACAAAAGATTTCCATCCGATTTTTCTCCTTGTTCTACTGTTTTCATTCATCAAATTTATTCTTTTAACTTAAAATGTATTCTCACTTTTGATGCACAAAAATTATTTTGTTTTTTTGTTTTAATACCATGAAGTTGATAAATTAAATATCTTAATGATATTATGTCAAAAACATGTTGATTATGAAATATTTTCAAGCATTATCAAACATTAATATCTCAAGATCTTTAACAAAACCATTCGATGGTATAATCATAGCAAAGGTAATCAATAGAGCAAGAAAAGAAAAGAAATTTAGTTAATGTGACAGTCATTTGAAAAAAAGTAAAGAAGAATATTTAACATTTATCATAAACATTCAACTATCACCATCACTTGAATCGTATCGAATGGTGATATGAAATTCATGAGCACCACTTCAGTATCTCTATGCATTTGGTGTTAATGTACTTCTTTCATTCATAAGTTGGCACAATTTTTGATCTTTTTGTTTTTTGATCAATTTTTAAATCGTTTCTAATTAAATGTTGGGACAATATTAGATACTTTTGTGCAAGCAACTTGACTTCAAATTTTTTTCAATAAAGTTTCAAATCAGTTTCAAAAAAGACTTGAAATACAACTCTGATAAGAATAGAATTTAACCTTAGGTCAGGAAATAAAACCGTCTTATATAACATAATAGTCATCTTTCATGCGATTAGAACCAGTTTGCTTTTCCCTCATAGGCGAAAAATAGATTATTTGTGCGTATATGTACAGATTTGACGACAAGTATTGCCAGAAAAGTTTGAATTATTCACAATAATTTTATTTATCCCCAGTACTTGAGTCACCAAAAATGTCCTAAAGATCTTTATATAACAAAATGTTAACACATTGGTAATAATATTTAAGTTATATTAGAAACAGAGCGAGGGAAAGAATTATTAAAATTTAAAAATATTTGATCGAATAAAAATATGATTTCATATCGACTATACATTAAAATTGGATTAAAACGTAGCATCGAATAATACTCGATAGATGTAATGAAGATAATCCATTCTTCAAAAATTTAAAATTCATGTCTCAAAAAAATCAACTCTTATTTACTCGAAATCAGAAGTTTGAGGTAATATACTATTTTTCTTCATAGCCGATCGAAAGTACGAAACAATTATATATATTATATTATGTATCGCATCTAAAAGAATTGATGCCTGCCGCGACATTTGTGGCACGAGCGAAGCGAGTGTTATTGGTCGGGGGGCAGGCATCAATTCATAAAAAAAGTGAATAGAATAATTCTTTTAATTATACAAATGTGTCTTTCTTTCGTTATGAATAAAATATAATTATATTATTTAATGTTAAGTAGTTGTATAATAAAATTATTATATTATTAAACATAAATCTTTCTTAGTGTACATTTTATTTTTCACAGTTTTTATAATAACTGTGAAAAAGATATATGATGAGCACAATAATAATAAAAATTATTTGTCATATGACCATTGAAGAAACAATTGTCATATTTATTGCCTTTAGGGCTCTGGTTCAAATCTTTTTAATCATTAAAAAAAAGACTGATAACTTTCAAGTAGGCACTTTTGAAGTTATACACAATCACAGTTGTTATAGCTACTACCAGAGAAGAGAAACGTGAATAGAAGTTTATTTCAAATGGGCCGATGTGTTCCAAAAATTTAGTATGGGTTCTTATGGAGCCAGGTAGGAGTTTAACACGGTTGGGGTGGCCTGGGGTGATCCCTAAACAGAACACAGCATTGAACTTTTATGCAGGTCTATTTTCTCTGCTACTACTGACTGGCGGCAGTTTCACGTATCAGTACGCACGAAAAAACTCTTCGCTGTTAGCTCCTTCCGGCCTGCTCTTGTAGATGGCGCGCGA